GCAGTGTCCTCCTGTGAGAGGACACTAAGGAAGCTGAAAGTTAAAACTGCTATCAACCCTGGCCCCTTTCTGGCACGTGAGAAAAGCTTCCTAGAACTTTACGAAATGCTAATGTCACCAGGACCATTCAACCCCTAAGTTCTTCTAGAGCTAAGTAGACGCTGTACACTTTGTTTTGTAAAAAACAGGTATGAGTGATAAGAGGGGGGGCCTCCTGCCATGGGCCCCTTCCTGCCCTCTGCAGTTATCCATCCATATGCCCTGAGCCTCAGGTTCTGGGGGGTCTGGAGACACCTTCCCTCCCCAAGCGGCCACTGCTCCGCCAGCCTGCATTTAACCGAACATCTCAGCAATAGCACACAGAACTACAAAACACAGCTTCTGTGCAGCAGACATTTATAGTCTGAGACCCAACCAAGGCTTCCCTCCCTCCTTCAAAACTTAAGACTATAGGCTGAATATTCTGCTTCTTCCTCACAGATAGAATTGTCTCCAATCCATGGCGACAGTCCTCCCAGACCATCTACAGAATCTAAGAGGAAACCCAAGCCTCGTTACCTAGATGCACTCATGGCTGGGAACCAAGCCTCAGCAGAGGCAACTCAGTAGAGAAAGCCCGAGGCTGGCTGTGGCCCTCGGCACCCAGCTCTGGTGGGGCTGCTGCAGAGCGGCCACATTTCCCCACAAGAGCAGAGGTGCTCTCTCTCACCCCCAGCCCCCAGCCCTTTAACCTCTTCTGGCTGGGCCAGTGATTCCTACTCCCTAGTCTGAGGCCCGACTGGAAACAGGCTGGGATACTCTGGGACGTAGCGCGGAAAGGATGGTAGGTGACTGACTACAGGCAGGACACCAGTGCGGGGCTGGGCCAGGCGGGCCCCGTTTCCTCAAGCTGAAACGGCCGCTGCCGCTGTGCCAGCCCTCAGAGGACAGGCCTCATGTGCAGCAACAGTGTGTGCACAGGTAACGAGACCAGGGGAGGGGACCCCAAGTGTCTTCTCCACAGGGAGAGGGGACTATGTACAGGGGGAAGAGGGGAGTCTGGCCAGGGACACCCCCACTTCATCTCATTCAACCAGGAGATCAAACTGCTCAGCAGCTTCAAACTCAGCATTCATGGCCGCGGCCCACTCATCCAGCTCCGATTTCTGGGGGAAGAGAAATGGGGGGCAGGTGAGTGGAGAAGCGGGCACATTGGCTGGAGCATTTCCACCCATACCCTGCAGGCACTGCCTTTCTCCCGTGACAGCCAGGGCTGAGCCCCGGCCCTGCACGTGTCCCGGTGCGTCTCCCCGTGTGTCTGGCGTGACGGCAGAGGAAGGCCCCTGCCCCTCACTCACCAAGATCTCCGGCACCTTCCTCTTCTTTCGTTTCTCTTTCACGGCCGGGGGAGAGATTCCAGGGAGAGTTGTGTCTGGGGCCCAGGGCTTCACAGGGACCCTGGGGACCTCAGTTAGCTTTGAACCCACCACAGGCGAGACTCCAGCCAAGTCTTCTGTGGCCAGCAGCCCCTCAAAGCCAGAGCAGGACCGGCGACCCGGGGTGGAGGTGGAGGCCGAGCCAGGAGTCTCCAGGCGGCTGTAGGATCGCCTGACTTTCTTGGACATTTCCAAGTCTCTGGCGTCCAGGTCTCCTTCCCTGGAGTCGGACTCAACATTCAGGGAGCACAGCGCAGGAGTGGAGGCGGAGGTGACAGGGACACTGCGTGTCGGGAAGACGTCCTCCCGAGTAGGCTCCTTGCTAGGAGGGTTGTTTTCTTTCTCCAAAAAAACAGCGATCTGTACCAGGACAGAAAAGAGAACGCCTCCCTGTTACTTGGCTGTGTTACTTACTTCAAGAAAGGCGCAAGGAGATTTAGGGCAGAAAGAAAGACCCACAGGACCTAAAATGTCCATCCAGTCAATAAGTCCTTACTGGCCACCTGCCAGGCACTGGGAGTAGAGCAGGGAATAAAACCGAGAAGACCCGTCTCCACAGTGCTGCCACTCTGGTGGGGAAAATAGAGAATAGGGAGAATCACGTCATATGTTAAGCACTTTGGAAAAAAACAACAGGACTGAGCATACTGGGTGGGGGAAGGGTTTGGAATTTTAAGTAAGTGTAGGTCAGTGTAGGCCTCACTGAGGTAGCACTGGAGCTATGACTTGAAGGAGATAAGGGAGTAAGTCATCTGGAGGAGAAATGTTCTAGGCAGAGAGAACAGAAGGTGCAAAAGTCCTGAGGTGAAAGGGTACCAGTCAGGGTCAAGGAACAATAAGGCTAGCGTGGCTGAAGTGAGAGGGAGTGAGGCGAGGAACTGAGCGTGGGGTTCGAGAGGTAATGGGGGTGTTATAGGGCATTTTGCAGGCCACTGTAAGGGGAGACCCATGGAGCCCCTTGCTCCGAGACCCAGGGAGCCATGGCAAAGTTCTGAACAGGAAAGCACTTAATCTGACATGTGTATTAAGAGGTTCACACACTGGCTTCTCGTAATTCCAGTCTCAGCTGAAGTGCTGCCTCCTCGGGGAGGCGGTCCCTCACCGTGGAACGGAGCAGCCCCTCCTCACCTTCGCTGGTCACCCTCTGTCACAAGGACCTCTTTCCTGAGCAGTGAGCATCACTATCCGATTGTGGCTGCTCGCTGGTTGACTGTGACGCCGACTAGAATGTGCGCATCACACGTGAGCGTCTTCATCTGTCTGGCTGACCTTGCCTGTGCCCAACACCTTCAGCAGAGCCCTGCGTGGAGCCGGTGTTCCATAAATAATCACTGAGTTAACTTTCACAAAACTTGACACTGAGCTTTGTGACAACCAAGACAAGGCGAGAAACAGGACAAATTTAGGGCCCTTGTGGTTTAATAGAATTATATTGGTTATCAAGAGAGACATTTCCTGGCTACAGATTCTGGGGAATCTGCCCCATGAGTCTTAGTAAAAGGGATGCTGAACAAAATGGGAGTCACCCAGACGACTTCTTCTTCAATCCCTACAGCCAAGCAGTCATCAAAGTCCTTGTGCATTTTTTGTTCAATATCTCATGAATCTATCATTCAACCAACAAGAAAGAGTGGCCACCATAGGGGAGACAGAAGTCCCTGCCCCTAAGACAACAAACATGCAAACAAAATACTCTCGGCTATTCATAAGGCCTATGGAGAAATGTATCAGGCAGGCTTCGGGGAGGCAGTGCCCTTTGAGCTGAGTCCTGTGTGATGCGGTGGTCACGCGGTGAGCCAGGGGAAGAAGCAGCACTCTGCCTTTACCTAACTTCAGGCTCCCACCATCTCACTTCGGGATTCCTTTCATGCCCGCCCACCTGGTCTGGGGGTCCCCAGAAGGCTTTCTGCAATCCATTCTCCACCCAGACCCTAAAGAGATCTTTCTAAAACATCCAAGCCTGCCTCAGTCACTACTTTAAGACTCTCCAAAGCTGCCCACAGAACAAAGGATGAAGTCGAAGCTCATCATCAGGATCTGCTCTGGCTTGGCACGCTCCCTCCCCTGACAAGGTCTGCGGCAGACACATCAAAGCTGCTGTTCCCCAAACCTCATGCTTTTCCTTGTGGACTCCAGGCATCTGCAAACACAGCTTCCTTTGCCTAGAACACTCCTAACTTGTCTTCAAAGACTCAGTTTAAACACTTCTTCTGTGAAACATTCCCTGAGCTACCTGGTCTGGGTTAGGTGCCTTTACAGCATCTAGTACTTTCTTTATTGTAGTCCTCAGCACACTATGTTATCACTTATTTGTCTTTCTCCCCACTTGACTGTAAGCCCCGTGAGCCACTCAAAGGCAGTTAGTATTTCTCATTCATTATATCTTCAGGTACAGATCTCCTTTTAGTGAGACATCCTTAACAATAACTTCTGCTAAAACAGTTAAGGACATTATACTACACTGAGAACAATAGACGAGCAAGAAGAAAGTAGTTAAGACACAGCTCAACTTTTAAAGGAAAATGGTAGAGAATACAGGGCATCAATAGCTAAACGCACCCAGCGTGCAGGAAGTAAGCAAGACTGGCGATACACATAGGTGTCCAAAGGCAAATTGTTTCAAAATACAGCAAATAGCTCCCTGGGCAGACGTGAGCAGCCATTATATTCCGCCTCAGCTCTAGACTGTCTGTCCTGGATTCCCCTTAACTAAGAAAATGAAAATGAACTTACCCGGGGGCTCCTTCGAGGCGAATGAACAGACGGGATCTGTGGAGACAACACTAGTTGATCACATCAACACTAGTTGATCCCACTTCTGGCTCCCCACCTACAACCCCTCTCTCTGTCCTCACCTCTACAGTACGGGCCACGATCTTCTTCAAGACGATGGGCTTTCTGACTGGAGCCGCCTGGGGTGCCTGGAAAAGAGGGGTGAACTTGAGCTCTACATTAGCCCAGGGGCCTCCGGGGCAGGAGGAACTGAGGAACCCGGGGCTCACCTTAGGCCAGATTTCCGGGAGGATGCTTGGGAGATCAGAGCCTGATTTCCGCTGGGACCTCCGCAGAGACTGAGTGGAAGTTGGGGCGCTGGGACCTGGAAAGAGACAAATTTAGCAGGTAGGGGAGGACTCTAGACCTCAGAGTCTGGAGAGAACAGGAGCTGAAGAGAGCGACAGAAGTTCCCAAACAGGCCCTTTGGGGGCGCCTTCTCGGGCGGGGGACGAGCCTCCTAGGGCGGTGGGGGGAGGGCCTTCCTCACGGAACTGCGTCCCACAAACTGCTCAGCCCCATCTCTCCCGCGCGCCCTCCGCTCACCGGAGCACTGGGCGGCCCCTCCGGACCGGGTTCGCCTCTGGGACATGTCTAGCCTTGGTCTCGAGCTCTACTGCCGCAGCCACCGCCGCCAGGGCTCGCGCCAACCCGAAAGGCAAACGTTCGAATTACCCGCCTTACCCGGGAGGAAGCGGAAGTGACGTAAAGCGGGAGGGCCGCCGAGCTCTGGTCACCCCCTTTCCACCCGCCTCCACGTCTAGCGTCTGCAGGGGCGGGGCCAGAGGCGAGCTGGTGTCATCAGCGCGCGCCGCACCCGGAAGAGACGTGGCAGTGGAGGGATAATCGGAGGGTTCTGAGCTGGAGGGAGCCGAGCGAGAACTCGCCTGAGTGCTGTCTGACCTTCCGCGCCTCGGACCGGCGCTCGCGCCCGTGGGGACGAGTGCCGCAGCCGATTCGTAACACAGAGTGGGGTCTGTGGGGAAGGTGGGGGCGGGGCTTGGAGGGGGTGGGGCTCGGGAGGGGCCCCTAGGGGCGGGGCCGGTGGTATCGGAGAGACTGATGGAGGGGCTTGGCCAGGTTTGGGATGCGGGAGGAATCTGGGGTCTCCGGAGGTGGGATTTATGCAGGGGGCGTGGCCGGAATGGAGAGGGACGGTGGGCAAGAGTTTGGGGTTGGGGTGAGTACGAGAGGTGTCTAGGGCAGGTAAGAGTGAAAACAACTGGGCTGGTGAGTGCGTTGTGGCGGCCACCAGAACCTGGCTCCCTGCCAACTCAGACCCCTTCCTCAGGGTCGACTATGGGGCTTTGCAAGTGCCCCAAGAGGAAGGTGACCAACCTATTCTGCTTCGAACACCGGGTCAACGTCTGCGAGCACTGCCTGGTAGCCAATCACGCCAAGGTGGGTGTTCAGAGGAACGGCTGAGCAGGGCACTAGGTGGGCAGGTAGTACTGACTTCCTCCAAATCCATGAAGGGCCTGGCCCTAGAATGGAAGCTCCACAAGGACAAGGACTTAGTTTATTTTGTTCACTGTTGTATCCCCAGTGCTTAAGTCAGAGTATGGCACACTGTGTGTGCTCAATAAATGTTTATTGATTGGTCGAACAGAAGGATCAATCTCCTCTGTGATGAGAAAAAGAGGCATCTGGGCTTTGGGGAGATGGGCTGTGGAGTTCCTGCTCCCGTTGTGACCTCTTTCTCCCACTTCAGTGCATCGTCCAGTCCTACCTGCAGTGGCTCCAAGATAGCGATTACAACCCCAATTGCCGCCTCTGCAACATACCCCTGGCCGCCCGGGAGACGACCCGCCTGGTCTGTTATGGTGAGGCCTGGGCACCTTATGGGGGGGTCAGGACAGGCCCAGCGTGACCAGTTTCCAGGCACTCCCCAAGCAGCAGGACAGTGACCTCTCAAGCCTGGGAGGCTGGAGCCCCAGATTCTGGTCCAGCTAGGTTACTTACCTGCTGTGTGAGCTCAGGCAAGTCATTTCCCCTTTCGAGGCCTTAGTGTTTTTCCCTAAAAATTAAAGCTTCTAGCTTCTTCCCTGCCAATCTCTAGGGTTGAGCGAGAGCCAGTCAAACTTGTGGGTGTGGTTGTAGCTGTGAGCAGTAGCTGGCCATACCAGCAGTGAGCTGAAAGCATGGGGCTTTCAGACATTCAGGATCCATTTCTGATTCCAAGATTAAACAGAGAGGAACTGCATTCCTCACAGTAATGTCAGCTAAAGGAAGTCAGCAGGGGCATGTGTCACGACCTTGACCTGACTCTGGTGTAAGAGCCTTAGCTCCACTTTTTGAAGGAACTAGTGTAAAAGAGTGTGCTCCATGTATGTGTTTATCACTGTGTGTTTATACGTGCATGAACTGAACGTGCATTGTCTTTACATAAGTGTTAGTGTATTCATTTGTACTATGGGTGAATGAATGGGTAACTGCTGTATGTGAACATATAAGCACAGGTGTGTTGTGGGGTTGCAGGAGAATTCCTAGGTGAGGGTGCTTAAGTGTTAGCAAACATGAGTGTATAGATGTGTATGTGAGAGTTAGTGTGCCCATATGTGTGGATGTAGGGGATGGCACCTGCGTTTGACATGTATATAAACACGTGTATATCTGTGCCCATGGATGTGTACACCCATACGTGTTCCTGTGTGTATGTCTAGTAACCTTTTCTGAAACTGTTCTTGATGAGCTGTTAGCCCAACGAGCTTGTGATGAGTGCGAGTCCAGAGAGGACTCATGGAAAGGGTAGGTGGCATCTTCTTCCCACCCACTCCCACCCCCTAGTGGGCTGGGAAGTTTGGTAGCATCTGCCTTGACTTAGTCGGGTAGTGGTGGCCAGGAAGGCCAAAGTCTTAGGGAATACTGATGAAGTGGACCTGGGGTAAGGATGGGCAGGAGAAGGCCCTGGGCTTACACTTACGTGTGCATGTATCTCTGCAGCAGGCTGGGGGCTCTTGCTGGGCTAGGGGTCCTAAGTGTCTTCTTCTTCATGTCTTTCCTCCACTACTTCATGGGCCCTCAGATCTCTTCCACTGGGCCTGCCTCAATGAACGTGCTGCCCAGCTACCCCGAAACACAGCACCTGCTGGCTACCAGTGCCCCAGCTGCAGTGGCCCCATCTTCCCTCCAACCAACCTGGCCGGCCCAGTGGCCTCCGCACTGAGAGAGAAGCTGGCCACAGTCAACTGGGCCCGGGCAGGACTGGGTCTTCCTCTGGTGAGAGCCTGTATCCCCTGGGTCCCACCTGGGCCAGGTGGGTGGGTGGGGACAGCACTGGGCAGGCTGGTGACATCTGTTCTTTCCTCCAGATTGACGAGGTGGTGAGCCCAGAGCCTGAGCCCCTCAACACTTCCGACTTCTCTGACTGGTCCAGCTTTAATGGTAAGTGGTGGTCTCCACCTGCTGTTGGGGCCCTTGCCTCCCTGCTCTGCTGACAGCTCTCTTCCTGCCCACAGCCAGTGGTAGCCCCAAACAAGAGGAGACAGCCAGCGCTTCTGCTGCCCCAGCCTTCTACAGCCAAGTCCCCCGGCCCCCTGCTTCCCCGAGCCGACCCGAGCAGCACATGGTGATCCACATGGGCAATCCCGAGCCTTTGACTCACGGTGAGCCGGGGAATTGTCCAGGCCAGAGGAGGATAGAATGGGAGTGGGGTGCTTTGCATGGAGGGGGCTCGGGGGTCTGGACACCCACCCACAGGGACCCTCCCTCACTCCATCACAGACGTTACCTCCCCACAATTCCGAGATGCTGTTAGGCTGAGGAGGTCCGGGACGTCCTGCCCTTCCCTCTCCCCACCCCGCTATGGGCCAGTTTTCCTGAGCCTGTGGATGCCGGTGGCTCTGCCCCTGCAGCCTCAGCCCCAAGGAAGGTGTATGACACGCGGGATGATGACCGGGCACCAGGCCTCCATGGGGATTGTGATGATGACAAGTACCGTCGCCGGCCTGCCCTGGGCTGGCTGGCCCAGCTGCTCAGGTACATGGGGTCAGGTGGGGCAGGATGCCAGGAAGGGGGAGGAGGGGAAGTGAGAGCCAGAGACCCTGGCAGGACGATTTCATGACAAAAGAGGCTTGTTCTGGGTAAAAATGGGACATGGTACAGGGGCTGTGCACCAAAGCCTGGGCTAGGGTCTTCCCCCCTCCGGGTGTTTCCTTGCGTGCTACATATGAGGTTCGGACTCGGGCTCTTCAAGGCCCCTTCCTGCTCTGACACCCCCCAATCTTTGTGACTCTCCTTATACCCAACACATTCCAGTTTCAGAACACAGTTGTTGCCTCAGCTGGTTTGAGCTGCACAGTCAGCCTGGTAGTGGGCAGGCGCAGGGATGACCACCCTTGAGGAAACCAGGCTCAGGGATGGTGGCGCTGGGGCCGGAAGATGAGCGTCATGGCTGGGGCTCCTCTCCCGGCTGCAGGGGCCGCCAGGGACTGGAGGCCTGACCTGACTTCCCCTCATCCCCCCAGGAGCCGGGCTGGGTCTCGTAAGCGGCCGCTGACCCTGCTCCAGCGGGCAGGGCTGCTGCTGCTCCTGGGGCTGCTGGGCTTCCTGGCCCTCCTTGCGCTCATGTCTCGCCTGGGCCGGGCTGCGGCTGACAGCGATCCCAACCTGGACCCGCTCATGAACCCTCACATCCGTGTGGGTCCCTCCTGAGCCCCTGCTTATGGCTAGGCCAGCCTAGGAGCTGGGGGCCTGAGGGTGGGTAGAGGGGGAGGTCCAGGGGCCCTTCTCTGCTCCTCTTCCTCAAGCCTGAGACACTAAGATCCCAGGCCCAAAGCCAAGTCCACCAGAGTGGCTGCAGGCTAGGCCTGGGGTTCCTGCAGATCAAATATTTGTCTTGACCTTCTCCTCCTGGGTCTCCAGCTTTCCCCCTCCCTCCCCCAAAGGAGCTGACAGGTGGAAATAAATGACAGACTTTATTAAAACACCCGAAGCAGCCTTTTCCTTCCCCCTTCTCAGCCTGGGCCCCAAGCCTCAGTGGTTCTCTTCCCGGTACTCTATGGCCAGAAACTCCAGGGACAGGCGGTTGAAGAACATGGCTCCGTTGAGCACTGGGCAGAGGAGAGAGCCCCCATCAGCCTTGCCTGCCCCCTCCTTGCTGCATCTCAGGGTTCCAGAGCTCCCCCCTCCCGCTGCGTACACCCTACTCACTCAGGACGGTCAGGGAAAAGCATCGATGAAACTTGTCATGTGTCATCTCAGCGTAGAGTGACCCCATGGCGGCCCAGCAGATGCCGATCACCTGGGAGAACTGTAGGCCCCATCCCGTGGGAGAGTGGCCCCCTGACACAACAGGGGGATTTCCATCAGCCCCTGGGCCTCCCCTGACCAGCCCTCGAGCCCCTGCCCTGGCCTACCATCAGGACAACTGTGTAGCGGAAGCTCATGCGGTCATAGTGGTGGGTGATACAGAAGTTGTGCACGTCGCTGGCGAAGACGGTCAGGTGTATGAAGAAGAGCATCAGAGCAGCCATGGTGAGAATCATGCCTTGTGGGAAGAAGAGCACGGCCACGCGGTCCCGCCACCGCATCCTGGTGGCAGCACAGACTCAAGGCAGCTGGTACAGCTTGAGCAAGCGGACACTGCCCAGGAGGAGCAGCCCACCCCTCTGGTTCTGGAGCGCACAGTCTGGAATAGCCGTAGGATTCTAGAATTGGGAGGACATAGAGAACAAGATTCTCGAGCACAGGCTGTTTCCAGCCAATACAGGAGTGTTTCTTGGGTGGCCAGGGCAGCTCTGAACTGTGGAGGGGGGCTGGGCTAAAGGTACAGAGCAGTGGGGCCCTAGCGTGTTGAGAGAGGGACAGCGTACCTCACCATCCCAGCCCACACACTTTGTGCTCTTGGGCAAATCTTCTCACTAAGTCCTCAACAGTTCCATACAGGAGGTAGTGTGGGCACATTCTGCAGATGAAGAACTGGGGCTCAGAAGAGCGAAGGGGGGACTTCCCTGGTGGCACAGTGGTTAAGAATCCGCCTGCCAATGCAGGGGACACAGGTTCGAGCCCTGGTCCAGGGAGATCCCGCATGCCATGGAACAACTAAGCCTGTGTGCCACAACTACTGAGCCTGCGAGCCACAGCTATTGAAGCCCGCATGCCTAGAGCCCATGCTCCACAACAAGAGAAGCCACCACAATGAGAAGCACACGCACCACAACGAAGAGTAGCCCCCGCTCGCCGCAACTAGAGAAAGCCCGCGCACAGCAACGAACACCGAACACAGCCAAAAAAAAGAAAAAAAAAAAATGTGAAGGGGCATGTAGGTCCTCAGCAAGTCTTAGGCAGATGAGAGGTCAGGTGTAATCTCTCCTAATGAGATCTCTCCAGTAGAACTGGAGGATGTAGCCAGGTGAGGGCAGGCCTGGGCTGGATCACAAACTCCAAGTATTTGTTCCAGCCCCTAATGGGGAGGAAGTAAGGGAAGGGACAACAGATTCTCCATAGCTGTCCCAGGACCTTCCCACATCCTCCCCAGGTGGGCCCTGGAGAGCAACTGGCTTTTCCATCTTCTCCCCAGATGTTCTTCCAACACATGATGCTGACCAGCTCTCCCCTCTGCTGCCTTCCAGCACTCAGCATCTTAACACTCATTGTCTCTACCATTCCAAGAGTCCCATGAGAAAGCTGGGACTGGCGGCACAAATCCTATTTTACACACAAGCCTGGGGCACAGAGAGGGATTGTCAGCTCAAGTTTTCGCAGCCAATGAGTGAGGGAATCAGTACTAATATCCACTTCTACCCGAGGCTGTGGAATGGGCAGGGACAATTAGATGCCAAGAAAAAAACATTTCCTCTGTACGTGTGAGAGGTGAGAACTCCAGGACTGTCAACAAAATAAGTCAGAAAACTGGCCAGAAATGGTGTGGAGGGACATGCAAACTCCCAGGAACTATTGTAGAAGAAGAGTTGATGTTGAACTTGGCCCGCCCCATTGCCTCCTGCCTGACTGTCTGCCCCAGAAGTCAGGTCCCAGGTCAGGTCAAGACCGGAAGTCTCCTGCCTGGAAGCAGTAAGGTTAAATAAAGCCTGACACCACTATCCATTATTGCTGCCCAGTGTCATTAATCACAAGAGACCCTCAGACCCCCATCTTAACACATTGAAGGGGTGATGCCCGATGCCCAGCTGTGTTCACAACACTGAAACAATTGTTTGCACTTTAGTTCTCATTTGAATACAGACGAATGTTTTTATGTTAGGGCTTCTACCTCAGTGTCATTAAAAAAAAATTACCCCCAGGGGCTTCCCTGGTGGCGCAGTGGTTGAGAGTCCGCCTGCCGATGCAGGGGACACGGGTTCGTGCCCCGGTCCGGGGAGGATCCCACATGCCGCGGAGCGGCTGGACCCGTGAGCCATGGCCGCTGAGCCTGCGTGTCCGGAGCCTGTGCTCCGCAACGGGAGAGGCCACAACAGTGAGACCCCCAAAAAAAGAAAAAAAAAAAAAAAATTACCCCCATAGTGTATGAATATGTTCTTGTAAAAGATTTGCATCATACACAGGCATACAGAGGAGAATGTACCAGTCTCCCCCCTCCCCCCCACACACCTACGGAGGTAACCCCTTCAACAGTTCGGTGAGTGGGCATCTTTTGAGTTCCTTCTTTTTAAAAAAAATTTTAAAAATTATTATTATTATTTTTTTTTTTTTTTGCGGTACGCGTGCCTCTCACTGTTGTGGCCTCTCCCGTTGCGGAGCACAGGCTCCGGACGCGCAGGCCCAGCGGCCATGGCTCATGGGCCCAGCCGCTCCACTGCATGTGGGATCTTCCCGGACCGGGGCACGAACCCGTGTCCCCTGCATCGGCAGGCGGACTCTCAACCACTGCGCCACCAGGGAAGCCCTATTATTATTTTTTTTAATTTATTTGTTTTATTTATTTATTTTTGGCTGCATTGGATCTTCGTTGCTGAGCACGGGCTTTCTCTAGCTGCCGCGGGGGCTACTCGTTGCGGTGTGCAGGCTTCTCATTGTAGTGGCTTCTCTTGTTGCGGAGCATGGGCTCCAGGCACATGGGCTTCAGTAGTTGTGGCACGCGGGCCCTAGAGCGCAGGCTCAGTAGCTGTGGCGCACGGGCTTAGTTGCTCCGCGGCATGTGGGATCTTCCTGTACCAGGACTTGAACCCGTGTCCCCTGCACTGGCAGGCGGATTCTTAACCACTGTGCCACCAGGAAGCCCTGAGTCCCTTCTTGATGTAACTTCATACACCTACGTGTACATCTACATGCATAATTTAAAAAACAAAATCACACCATATGTACTGTCAAAGTATAATTTTCAGAAAGTTAAAAATATGATCTCTAAATAAAGAATAAACATGTAACTAAGATGTCTTAACTCATCGGTGAAGGGGTTCCCCCTCAGTAAGGTAGGAATGCATCTTGAGGAGCTGGATATGGATAGGCATTTAAAGAGGAATATTAGAACATGATTACTAGGTTAGATACAAAATTGGCTGGTGTCCTACAGGGCAAACAAGCCAAATTTTGAGGTTATTTTTCCATTGGATATAGATGTTTTGCATCTCTTTGGGACAATATCTAAATAGCAAGCTCAAACAAATGTACACTCCTATAGGTAATTAAATAATCCTTGGGTGGGCTTGTGAAACAATGCCCCAGTATGATATTGGAAGGTCATGCTACCGTCTGTATTCCAAAGTTTGGATAATTTTTCTTAACAGTATTCTGCAACTTTTTTTTTGAAGTTTATAGATTTCTTGGAGTAGATCTACATCTTTCTACTCTTTTTAAAAACTATATTTATTCAGGCTGCGCTGGGGCTTAGTTGCGGTGGGATCTTCGTTGCAGCATGTTTGGTTTCGGCACGTGGGATCTTTAGTTGTGGCATGCGGACTTCTTAGTTGCGGCATGAGAACTCTTAGTTGCAGCAGGCATGTGGGATCTAGTTCCCTGACCAAGGATCGAACCCGGGCCACCTGCATTGGGAGTGCAGAGTCCCATCCACTGGACCACCAGGGAAGCCCCTAAATCTTTATACTCTTTTCTTCATTTTTCTTAAGATTATAGCTTGATAAGCTTAAATCTTCATGTATATTTTTTATACAGCCTCTGAGTATCCCATAGAGTCAGGGGTCAGCAAACTTCTGTGAAAAACAAGATAGTAGCACGCCCCGGGCCAGCGCGGGCACTCAGGCCTCGGTGGCGTGGTGATGGCCGCCTCGCACCGAGCAGCGAAGCTGGCGGCCAGCAGTCTCCAAACCCCGGTCAATCCCAGCACCGGAGCGCGGGTCACCCATTACGAACGCAAAGACCCCGTAGAGTCCCTGTCGGCGGCGGCAGCGGCCTTGGAGGAGGAGGAAGAGGAGGAGGAAGAGGTGGCGGGGCTGGCGCGGGCGCCGGCTGATTTTAACACCAACATTTCTGGGGTAAATGAACAAAAACGTATAAGCTGTGAGGATTTTGTGGACCTTTCTGATATTTACCACTCTAATGAAGAGTACTTCAGGAAACTAGAAGAGCTGAAGGCAGCCCACATGGAAACTATGGCAAAGTTAGAGAAAATGTACCAGAATAAATTAAATTTAAAGGAAGTTCAGCTAGCGATCACCATGGAAGAAGCTGCTAGTGTCTCTTCCAGGTCTGTATCAGAAAAGAGCTCCCATCATCCTGTTTCATTAATGACATCAATTTCAGAGCCTGATTTAGGTCAGTCTTCCTCCTTGATTGTGTCTTCCTCTGAAGATGAGTTGCCCAACGTAGAAAAAGAGTATTCTGAGAAAAGCAGAATGATGACCTATGCTAAGGAGCTCATCAACAACATGTGGACAAACTTCTCTGTTGAAGATTATATTCAGTTTGAAGATGCTGACTTGCCAGCACTCGAAAAAAAAAAAAAGAAGCCAAAAGAATAGGTGCCAAAGATTACAGTACCTGAGCCTTTTCAAATGATGATTAGAGAGCAGAAGAAAAAAGAAGAGAACATGAAATCTAAATCAGATATTGAAATGGCACGCAAACTGCTCAAGAAACAAGAAGAAGAATCAGAGTGTAAGAAAAAATTCCGAGCCAACCCAGTTCCTGCGTTTGTCTTTCTCCCCCTTTATCATGATATAGTCAAGCAAAATGAAGAACGGAGGAGGTCTATGAAGGAGAAAGACAAAGAAGCTCTTTTGGCCTCGCAAAAGCCGTTTAAGTTTATTGCAAGGGAGGAACAGAAGCAAATTCGGGAAAAGCAGCTGAAAGACTTTTTTAAGTCTAAAAAGAAAACAAACCAATTTAAAGCCAGACCAATACCTCGATCTACTTATGGTTCAACTGCCAATGACAAGTTAACAGAAGAAGAGCTCTATAGAAACATTAGGACGCAGCAGAGAACCCAAGACTTTTTACAGAATTCATCCCCTCTGCCTTGTAGTCCAGCTCACAGAAGTTATGCTACAAGGAAGCCCAAGTGTCCTGAACAGGCTGAAAAGTCCAAGTGTAAACACAAGGTTAGGTGCCAGACTGCTGATACTGAAGACCTTCCTGAGAGATATCAGAAACATCACTCAGAACAGAAGTGTCCAAAACCCCTGACAGTCTGTGAACCATCTGACCTTCATGCAGCCTCACATGCATCCACTGAAAGAGAGAAAATCTTGGCAGATATTGAAGCAGATGAAGAAAATTTTAAACAAACACGTTGGCCTTATCTGTCTCCAAGGCGCAGGTCACCAGTAAGAAGTAGAAATGCAAAACCTGTGCCTTGTAGCTGCAACCCTCCCATGCCCACGGTGTCCTCCAGGGGAAGAGAACAAGCCACAAGGAGATCACTTGAGGAAAAGAAAATGTTGGAAGAAGAGAGAAATCGGATCCTAACTAAGCAGAAGCAAAGAATGAAAGAATTGCAGAAACTCTTGACAACCCGGGCTAAGGCTTATGACTCACATCAGAGTTTAGCTCAAATGTCTAAATCCAGAATAAAATCTCTCAGAAAGAGTGAAAAAGAAAGGATGACAGAATACCG